TTTTTTTTTTTATAGATGAAAATGGCAAGTGGCAGCCAGAAAAGCCCAAAGTTGAGGGCTCATTGTTGAAGTTTGGAAATATATAATGTAGGGCGGCTCCAGGAAACGATATACATACTATTTATGTAAATATACTACTAATATAAAATCTATAAATTTTTATTTCGAGATCAATGAACATAGACAAAGGTTTTTTCCGAGGTCGATAAACATCGATAAAGATTTATTTCGAGATCAATGAACATCGATAAAGATTTATATCGAGACCAAAAAACAACAAAAGACATTCATTTCGAGATGTTTGTAGATCGATAACACGATAACGATTTGTTTTGAGACCGACAAACATCGATGAAAATTTACGTTAATATGAAAAGGCCCTATCTCACATCGTCGCTGAAATACAAAAAGCCGTAACTAAGTAAAAATCCAAAATTCCCGTTTTGTTTAAGCAATAAACAATTTTAGTCCGTTACGACTTTTTTGCATTACAGCGACTACATAAGTTCGGGCCTTTCTATATTATGGTAACAATATATAGAGCTCAATAAAAATCGATACAAATTTCTATCGATAATAAAAACCATAACAATTTCAGTAAATACATGTGTATGTAAATCGATTTTTAATACATCTGCATGCATATCGATAACAAAATTTGAATACAAACTTTGGGAGTTTTAATTTTTCCGATCATATTTGATAATCCTAGGTTTATTTTTGCCTTCTTTATAACTTTTCCTATGAAATGTTATATTATTGATGAGAAGTAAAGTCCTCTCTCGTCGTACAGAAATCAAACTCTATAAGTCACTCATCATGCCCGTTCTGGTGTATAGCGCGGAGGCATGGATGATGAAAACATCTGATGAAGCGGCTCTTAGAGTTTTCGAGAGAAAGATTCTGCGACAGATTTACGGACCTTTTTGGGGAGTGTTGCTGCAGTGGCAGTTCCGACTGTCGTGGAAACGGACTAGGTCATGTTGTTCAAATGGACAGAAACGCTTTAGCTCTGAAAGGAAAGTCTCCTCTGCGTTGGAAAGATTAGGTGGCATTACTTGGCATTTCCAATTGGCGTCAATTGGCACAGAAGATAAGCTCGTCCAAAATCGCTTAGGTAGTTAGAACACCAATAAAGAAAGAATATGAATCAAATAGGATTATAAATGTGGCTTGAGGAAGTAACTCGAGTAAAGCGTTACCTTCCAGTGCTAGCAACCCATCCAAGTGATCTCAAAGGTATAGAAACCCAAAACAGTCAAGCCCTATAGGAAGAGAGGTATCTCGATAAATGCATACTGGTTTTTATATACATATCCATAGTACAAACCCGGGTATCGTGGTTCTGCAAAACTTCGTAACTGACACATTCGCCCCAAAATATCGATATTTAGATATTAAAGGTAGAGATTATTAGGGATTGAATAGAGAACCGTTTTGAAATAAGGCAGATTTTACTCTCTGCTGTAAAGTTTGGGCAAACTCTCGTACGACGTTTTGCATTACCTTGATGTGCGGTTTTGTGCTTCAAACTATGATATGTACATACATACTTTACATATTGTGTATTTAATTTCGTATTTTAATCGTTTTGCTTTGATTTCGGTTTCACATTTTTTATAAATATTTTTTTATGTTCCGCAGGCTTAGCTGCTTCTCTTCAGGATCACGTTATGGCTTCGCGCAAGTATAAGGAGGAGCATGAAGAACGTCAACGACGTGCTGCCGCTGTTTCAACCAACAACAGCAATGGCGACTTACATAACCAACACCTTCATCATCATCAGCAGCAGCAGCAGCATCATCATCAACACCAACAACAGCAGCAGCAGCAATATGTTCACAGTCAGTCGCATCATTACCAAAACCCGCAAGACACAAATACCACACCCAGCAAGGTGGAAAGTAAGTACTTTTATTTCGTCGCCACTCGTTTATCACATTTATGAATAATAAATCTTTCACTTCTCTCTAAAATAACAGTTGGTGTTAAACGTACTTCGCCCATGGCAAACAATCAACAGCCACGCCCTGCCAAAATGGCACACTACAACGACAACGTAGGTGCGCACAACCACCACCACCAACAGCAGCAGCAGCATCAGCATCAGCACCAGCAGCAGCTTCAACAACAACATCTCAGCAACAGCAATCCATATGCGAATATGAATGGAGTTAGTAGCAGCAGTGCATCCGCATCGGCCGGATCTTCACAACCACAAAGCACTTCGCTATCGCCAACATGTCGACGCAATGTAAAATTGCCGCTCGAACCATTGCTAATGAGTCCGGAAATCAATTCGATAATGAGCGGTGGCAGTGCTGGTGGTGATGAGCGACCGTTACAGCTATCGGGCGCAGCAGCAGCCGCAGCGATGTCACGCCAACAGCAACACGAGCAGCAGCAGCAGCATCGAACGATGACGACGACGCCGCATAGCACAACACCGATTGTGGGTGGACGCGCCGGTGATGATGGTAAGAATTGATTGATTGTTTGCATCACAATTATTACCGAAAAAGCACCAAGGGTCGCGTACAACCTACGCTTAGTAGACCAATAGTCAATGAGCACAACAATTAAACGTACTGTATGCACTCGAACCGGAAATACTAAGTACATAATATACATAGAAGCTTAGTCTAATCAAAAACTTGAATCGAAATAGCTCAATATTCAATGTACCTGATACAGTTTGATGCCCGAATAGTAATAGTAACGATAAACGACAGTCCCCGCGACACGTTAAAAGACTGCCATCATCACCACCACCACCACCACCACCACTACCACCACTACCACCATTTACCTATAATCATATAATCATAAGTACAATAAACCTAACCGCATAATGCCAAATTGCCACCAAATACTAACTGGATTATTGACAATACTATATACCGTTCGCTAAAAACTGTGCTGTTATGTTCCGTACGGCCGTTTTGTTGTCCGCTTTTGTGTTAATGTTATTGTTGTTGTTGTTGTTGTTCACTTGAATGCTGTATGGCCTTTTTATTGATTCGAATTTTGTTGTTAAAGAAAATTGTTTATGCCTTATAAGCTAAATTTTGTAATAATATTTTTTTTTTTAGAAAAATTTCCTCATATCAATTAGTTTTTATTTGAATAGTTCATTTTTAAAATACATAAACAAATTGGCTAAGCATCAATTTTTACTAATAAGCTTACTGTTATTTTTTAAAAAATATTTTTGATTTTGCATTCATTACCTACAAAAAAAAAAAAAAACAATGCCTTTATTTAGTATATAAGCACTTTATTGCACCGTTCAAATTATACTTTTTGGTTTGTGACACTGATTTTCTTAATTTTGCGCCTTCCTACATATTTAGTTTTATGTAAATTTCCAAAATTTTTGTATGCATTAAAATTTGATCAACATATTTTTAATGTGAACGCACACAAACGCTTTTTTATTTTTTCCTGTTTCACCTAATTTCTTTGGTGTTTTGGTTTTCACTCTGAGGGTGCATGGGTTTCCTATTTCACATTTGCATTTATCGTATGTACCATTTTTTGAACATTAAATGGTTTTACTTCTTTGGTGAGGGCATATGTATGTGTGTGTAAATGTCAAAATATTTTAATATTCAACCACAAGAAGTTTATGTATTCGATTCTGTATCACCTACACTCGTCGACAAAAAAAAAAAAAAAATCCACCTACTTGCAAATCTTACATTTTCTCTTTTATATTTCAAAATAATTACCTTAATATGGTAGCGCTTCCTATAGTAATATTATATAACGCTACTTTACCTAAATTTCTGGATTGTTTTATCATTGTAAGCAGACGCTTCGATTTTTTGTTTAATTTTATATGAGTGAGTTGAACAAAGTTCTTAAAAAGAAACCGAAAATTATGGCTTTGAATAAAAATAGTATGTTAAAGTGGCAAGCTTGGATAGGGAATTACATGAATTTTAAAAGTTTATTACGGAAACCCCCGGTCGACAGAGAGATTCTTCAAATCGTTACAGGCACTAAATTAAATGGATAGTTATATCTGACCGTTTCCAACATATTGGAATTGTAAACTGTATGGACTTGTTCGAGTGGCAATCTCAAGCGCATTTTCGCGTGATACTTTAATGTTTTGTGTGCATTTCTAGCAAAGTTTTATCACTTGAGCAGTTGCAACAGTGTTGCAAACTTTAATCAGTGCTGCAGTGTTGCTGCTTTTATTGCGAACCTCAAACAAGCCCTAACTTCTGCGCTGCATCTGAAATAAAATAAAATTCCCGATCCATTCAAGCAGACAATCTTCAATAACATGGGATTTCAAGTGCAACGCCCATTACAAGACTCAATACTCATTCCCAGAATGAATTAACAACGTCTGCGGTGAGCAAAAACTTGCGAAAAATGATCGGTTTCGAATTTAGCAAATGTTATTTTCCACCGATGAATCAAAATTAAATACATAAAGCCTTGCATAGTTCCAAAACAGTAAGCCAGACACGAAGAGTTTAAGAAAGATCGTATTATTTTAGCAAATATATTTTGTAAATTGCATGATCCAATGCTTTCAAATATTTTACATTTAAAAAAAATCCCTATGTTCTGGGCCAGAACTTAATTATGAATTTTATGAAAACCTTAGCTTTTATATCTTCTTTGTTATCTACCTTCCTTGGAAACATGTAAATATAAATATAATTAAAAGTCTTAATAATTTGAGTGCAAAGAAAAAGTTGTGTGTGGATCGATCCCAAACGCTGCTGAAGTGAAGCTTCCCTTTTTCTAATATTTATCCGTATTACTATATTACTAGGGAACCCCGTCTATATTACTAGTGAATGCTCGCTACCGCCCTTGTAGTAGGCTTAAGCAAACTATGATAATTATACATTCGAAGTAAAAGAAAAATTTCCTTTGGAAACTACCCTCTACGTCCTCACTCCTCACAGTGTTTAGAGCAAGACATACAATCCAATAATAATATAATAATCTTACCCATTTTAACTCGAAAGAACTGCTGCTTTAAAATATATGGCTTTTGTATCACGCATACCAAAAAATAACCGCTGTGTTTCTTGTCTACGACACAGCAAAGTAATGCCGGATTTTCACTAGGCATTAAATTACACAAATTTTAATGAAAAATGTGGGCATTAAAAAATACCTGTGACATAACGTCCAGAACGTTCTCGTTAAAGCGTCGATAATGATTTTTAACTGGGAAGTAGTGATAACCAGATATTGCACAAACGGCCCTTAAACTGTATCGAGTTATAATAAAATAAAATTAGTTATAATAATCATGTACTAATTTGGCACTTATACTTTTACTAAGTGTTTGGCCGAGATTCTCCTCCAATTTGTGGTGTGCGTCTTGATGTTTTAGCACAAATGGGGACCTTTCTTTCCCTTTGTTAACCCAGTTTTCCAAGATCTTGGTAGCCAATTGAGTCCAAGTCCATGTCCTCAACAAATCTGCATCAAACTGTTACCCGCCGAGGATTCAATGGCTTCTCGACGATCACGTGCGTTTTTTCCTTTCCCCAGATGTGGCAGTTATAACGAAGCGGTTGGTTGTGTGCCTCTTATTACTGATTCAATTGTACCTTGTCAGCGAATAATGCGCAAAATTCGCATTAGGCTGGTGCGTGAAATATCTTGTTGCTAACAGGCTAACCTAATATTCGCGGCCTGCGTTTGGAAATGAGTCTACATTATGTCCCAACGTTGTGCAAGCGTAAAGCAAAACATTTCATTCCGTGGAGCTATGATACTAACTTTCTGTCAAGAGATAGAGATGTCACTGCCAAAATGGAATGGCATATGATTAAAAAAATAAAACACTATCAGGCCCGGAGAACAAACTCCCCGGGAATATTAAGAATTGGGCTGTATATGAGCCATCCTGTACACTCTGAGGTTTGCCCTGTTGAGGGGTGACCGCTATTAGAAGATACTTTCTAATTTAGATGTTGCTCGGACATCGGGATCAAACTCAGGTCCTTCGAAGTTTACTTTACTCCAATTCTCACACCAATAATGGGGTATTTTTATTACAATTATGAATAATAAGCCTCATTGTGAGAGTCGTGTCGAATGCAAGTCGTTTTTCGAGAGTCGAATCGTATCGAAAATTTCATGTCATTGTGTAAAATTTCGACTCGACTAGTGTATTATAACGGAAAAACTTGGCAGCACTACACAGTTTTCGACGATTTTCGTCGTTTACTTATTTTAGCACGACAGTAGGCAATGGCAATGTTGTCGAGTCGTATAATTTAGCCTAATTTTCGACTTACGCAATGAGGCTGAATAAAACCAGTTTAAAAATATTTTTTATATGGAAGAAAATGCGTGACACCGTCAGCAAAAAAAAAATTATCGAAAATCAGTGGGATTTTTGATGAAACTTTGTGGGTTTTTTCTAATATTTCTACAAAGTTTGAGATTTGGATTCATCTGGTTTTTGCTTGAAAATGAGCTATACTTTTATAAAAAAAAAGTTAATAAAAATAAAAAAAGGAAAATACATGTCAGAATCTGCTAAAATGTTGAGGTGCTATCTTTTGTCGCGGGCTGTCAATCAGCTTCTACTGCTTGCTTTTTACATGCATACATATCAAACCTTTTCTCTAGCCTTTTGCACCACCAAATCCTTACTTTGAATCGACTTCCTCATTTTAACATATATGTATATTTTCCTACACATTACATTCCAGTTTCCAACAATTCCTCCCATGCAATATCTACTCCATACCGTAGCTATGGCTATAACAAACTCAAAATTTAACTGCTGAAATTGGGTTAACAATATTTGTCCACACCTTACATCATTGTTGTTGTTGTTGTGATTTTAATGTAAACGAGAAACCAAAATTTTATATACATTTTATGTGAAGATTATTGGTAAGTGTTTTGTAAAATAGTTATTGGTTGCTTTCATGTTTTCTGAACTGTTTCGTTTTATATACATATTGCAATGCATGTTTTTTGTTTATTTAAAACTAAACATTTTCTAGTTTGGTCTGAGTTATACTGGCACAACCTGATTTCAGGGAAAATGTTGTACATTATTTTTATGAAAAGACCACTATGTAGAAGTGTCCCTGACAAAGGACGAAATTATAGAAACTTTTATTTTAATTTCCTTAAGGACTAAAAATGAACTGGCAATAGATTCTAAAAATTTGTCCCATTTAATGCTTTTAATTTTAGATTGTACCCTTAAAAATATTATCATGGATTATTTAACGCCACGGTGAAGGTTATAGATAGAGGCAAGGATAACGATAATAACTATAAGCATAAGTACATTTATGAGGCAAATTCTGCCTAAGATAATTGAGACTTTTTTGAAAATCAGTAGTCAGAACGATTTTGTATATTTTGGCATGAAACTTTCCTGCTCGCGCTGCTCCGAAAGTCGCAACGGTCGAGTGAGCAAAGCACTGGAGTGACATTCGCGAGATCCGAGGTTGGAGAGCTCGGGCAGCCATTTTTTTCTTTTTAGATTTTATTGTTTTAAAAGAAAAATATGTCTATATATTTCTTTATTTCATTTGGTTTTTAGAAACTTCTTTTATTTATTTTAAGTTTTTTTTTTTAATTATATTGTTTTAAAAAGAAAAATTTATATATTTTTTAATGTCAATAAATTTTTAGCAATTGATTTAATTTTTTTATTTAGTTTTTAGAAACATATTTTTATTATATTTTTTTTTAATTTTTAAGAACGAAAATATTTGTTTTTTTAATTACTAGTTTCGAACTAAATAAATTTTTTTTAGTTTTTAATTTGTTTCCCTTCTTAATTTAGTTTTCTTTTAATTTCATCAATTTTTAAGGAACTTATTTTATTTGTTTCCTTTTTTTAAAATTAATTTTCTTTTAATTTTCTCATATTTTTAAAAATAAACAAAATTTTTTATTATTATTTAGTTAATTTTTGGAAACTTATTGCTTAAAGACAAACACATAATGCAAAGACCTCCTCATCAGCAGATCTTTCAATTATTCTTTCCAAATACAGAAAAGAGTTTTCAAGATAGTTGCCAGAACTGACAATTGTCCTACGAAAGACTTTTGTGTTTTGAAAGACTGTGGTGAGTTGAGAGATAGTTGCCAGAATTGCCGTGAAATATTAAGATTGAGATTTAGGAGATAATGAAGGTAATAATAAAGAAGAAGATGAAGGTTATGATGAGAGATGAAGGAGCAGATCAAGTTGGAAATGAAGATACATATTGATGAGGATGAAGATCAAGTTTGAGATGAAGAAGAAGAATATAAAGGAGATGAGGAGGAAGGTGAAGATAAATATGAAGACTTAGATGAAGGTTAAGATGAAGATGGAGATGTAGATGAAAACGTAGATAAATTTAAGGATGTAGGTGAGAAGAGAAGATGAATATAAAGGTAACGACCAAGCTCCATGAAGAAGAAGATGTAGATAAAGATGAAGACTGCGGTTACGAATTCAGATGAAAATTAAGATTAGGATTAATATTAAGATTTATTGATCGGTGAGGCTAAATATCGCACCGGACTCACACTATCGTAGCTGTTTTGAAAGTGGCAACACTTTCTACACGATTTTAACCCTTTATGGACTGTGAGCCTATAACTAAAAGAATTACATAACGAATTGAGAGCAATCGCCTTTTTTAAAGCTGATAAAAAGAAACATATATGTAGGTATTCCTATTAAATTATAAAGAAACAAAAGGTAATNATCCTAAAAGGATACAGTTCGAGGAAAAACAGTATTTTTATCTATATCTACATACATAATTTTTTTGTTTGGATAACTCATTTATTTTTTTATTTGGAATTACATATTTTTGTGGGATATGCATTTGTATTCAGTTACTTTGCGTTATTTTTTTCTAGGGTAAAGGCAAAAAGTTTTCAAACTAATCCTCAATGCATTTATGGTTGTCGAGTTGAATACCTATTACTCTTGCCTTCAGTCCTGCATGCCCTTATTTTTTCTAAATCTTTTTCAACGGTATTAGGGATTAAAATACGATGTTTTATAAAAATGAAAACTTACACTGGACCGCTCCACTTGCATTAGACACTTCACAACGCCTGCGCGTCCTTTACACTCACACTCACTGACATTCACTTCCCTCTGTTCGAATTCTAATCATTTAATAAATATACAATTTGTAAACAAACACTAACTGATTTTTCTTAACCTTTTTTCCTTCTCCCTCGTTGCTCGCTTAGATGACGTCATCGCCGACGATGAAACTCACTGGCAACACCGTGTGAGCTCCGGCTTCGATCGGCTGGTCGCTTTCGCCTCCACCGAATTGGATAAGACGCGTCGTTCGATAGACACCGATATAGTACCCTCCTCGATTAGCTGCAACACCTCACCCGACTCTGGCATAACGCACAGCAGCAGCAATTCAGATGCGGCACGCACTTTCCTCTCCACCTCTTCCACCTCCTCACAACTAGATATGCCTATGGGCAGTGGCGGCAGTAGCGGCAGTAGCGCCGGCAGCACCAGCAGCTCCAGCGGCGGCAGCGCAAGCTCTGGCGGCAGTGCTGTCAATAGCTATATGCATGGCCACCTACACCACCACCACAACCACCATCATCATCACTCACTGCTGCTGCATCAACATAGCAGCGGCAGCGTTGGCGGCAGCAGTCACGCTTCCTCTTCCGACCATCTCAGCGATAGCAGCATGAAATCATCGCACTCAGATGTCACCTCTATGCCACCCATAACGCTGCTGAAGACGAGCGTCGCGTCGCCAGTCGATGCAAGCACCATCGAAAGTCCGCCGCTGTCCGACATTGGACTACCGCGCACACCTAGCCCGAATGCAGCAGTGCCAACGCCTCCTTTGGCGGCGGCCATGGCTGCTGCACACAGCGTCACACCCACACCAACACCCACGCCCACGCCAACACCGCCAGCTGGCACGGCCACCGCTGGAGATCCGTATGGCAACAATACACTGAAAATACCGTTAAAATATCAACGAAAGTCGAAATCTTCATCGGAGAAGCATTACAAGAAGAAATTCTGTGAGCGCAATTGGGAATATGATTGCGATGATTTACTGATACCGTATGCGAATAATAGTAATGATGCCACCAGCAACAATGTGCACACGTCTGAGGGTGGTGCAACAGCGGCAGATGCGGCTGGTAAGTTGGTCGCCGGTAGTTCGATAACAAATGGCCCTACTTCGCATACCAAATCCAGTGGTGGAGAATCGAGAAAGTCGGCTGCGAACAGTGAAAAGTCGCCCAAATATCAGCAACAACAGCAGCAACAGAATGCCGTTGAGTCCAGCACCAAAAGCGCTGAATCACTGAATCGCAATCACAGCAGCAACAGCTTGTCGGCGAGCGCAGCGGCAATGACGCAAAATCTATCGAATCACCATCATCACCATAAGNTAAGTCGCCCAAATATCAGCAACAACAGCAGCAGCAGAATGCCGTTGAGTCCAGCACCAAAAGCGCTGAATCACTGAATCGCAATCACAGCAGCAACAGCTTGTCGGCGGGCGCAGCGGCAATGACGCAAAATCTATCGAATCACCATCATCACCATAAGTCGTCCAAATTTCGACCGAAGGGCAAGGATTGGGACTGGTCCATGGATAGCAGCAACAGCAGCGGCGCGGTGAATGTTAGCAACAGCGGCAATAGTGGCGGCGCCAGCAGCGCTCTGGGAGCGGGCAACAGCAGCGGCAACAAATGCAAGTCGGACGTAAGCGCTGCGCCGTCAGCGACGACTGCCACGCCCACAACAACCAATGTTAGTTAAGTGGAAAGTGTTGCATGATTTTAATTTTTTTCTTGTTGTTTTCTTTTTCCTCGCTCAGCAGCCACATGGCAACAATTGGCAATACAATAACAATTTGCATAAAAATGTATACATATTTATTTTGTAGTTTAAGCGAAAAATGTTTGAATTGTATAATAAGTTTCGTTATGTTTTCGCTAAACTTTAACGCATTGTTTACAACTAACTTTAAGTTTAAAAATTTATATTTTGTAGTTAGTTACTAATTATTTTAGTTGAGTTGAAAGTGTTTATTGCAGACATTTGTTCAAGTGAAAATATTGTACAAAAAATTATGTTAGAAAGCAAGTATCGTGAAACTAAAATATGCTACGAGAAGCGTAGAAAGTTTTCCAAAACTTGAGTTTTCTTTTGAAATTTGATTTTTAGTATTAATTCATAAAAAAAATTAACTACTCCGCTTAAATAGGTGATTATTATTTTTTTTATTGACCAATAAACTAAATACTTATGTGAAGTATAAAAAAGAAGAAAAA